ATTACAAATGAATATCATGAAGGCTTTGTTAAAAAATGGGGAGGTAAGAATAATAATCTTTGGTAAACCCACAAGCATACAACGTTTGCATGAGCACCACTCACAATGACAAAATTGACTCGTTGCTTTTTTTTACATATCAATATTACAGTATAACAGTTGATGTTAATATCAATAACTCTTATTCTAGATCATTTGTGTAGCAAGTGTGCTCGGTTAAAAAYGCCCAAGAATTAAGTTTTGAAGATTTGGATGGCTCTATAGCTATTGGTATGTTAAAAAATGCAATTAAAGTTATTTTATTAATATCAATTTGTTATTTATAATGCTCAAGTTATGTTATTTTATGTCATTTTTGAATGTATTCCATAATTTGACAATGGTTTCCAATATTTTTATTCTATTTATATCTAAAAGTGCCTTTAATTTCAGAAATCAGTGTATTTATAAAACAAATAAGTAAATGGTGCATGAGCACAAATTCTCAAATACTCACTGTGCTCAATGCTGTATACATCTAGCAAATTAGTGTAGTATTATGGTTAGGAACAGATGAACTAATGCTTTTCACTACAGCACTGYTTCAATCTATATTATTTTGACATTAAAGCTATATAATATAACAATGACTTTCTAAAGGCATTCAATCATAATTTTGTAAAACTAGGGATTTTTGGACTAATTTTGATTCCATTTTCATTTTTTTAAAGGCTGCTTGAACACACCGGCGAAATGGGAACGAGTTTGGATTGATCATAGTCACCAGGCGTGCAAATTTAAAGCTGACCTCCATGAAGAACATATTTCTGAAATAGCTGAGGTCCTTCCTTTGAAAATACTAAACAACAAAGAAACACCAAATGAAACATTTTTTGAGGTAGGGTTCATTACAATACATTGAAAGGCAACTTTTTTGCCTGTTTCCATTATGAAGTAATACTCAGCATACTTAAGGCACGSCTCATTTTCAAAATTTTGCAAAAAACAAAGAAAAAAATTGTAATTAATTTCTGATTAATGAGATGTTCATGATTTTTGGCAAGTTGATAGTTGTTGATGTGTTCTTTGAYTTGGCATACCAAACTTCGATGTGATTTGTCMTGTGACGACTCAATGACCATATTTGGACGTGAAAAAATTGTTTATTTTCATCGGGCTTGAGTAAATTCTTTTCCTTCAAAACTTACAGAGTTTTCGGTTTTAAATGAAACATAGATGATAAAAGTTTTGGAAACTAACTGGAAATATACGTTTTATATAWCAAGTACGAAATTTTCCTCAACAAAACACAGAAATGTGRCMAATTTGCTTTAACCTTGATTAGAACCCCATTCCTTTCCTAGTTTTATTTCAGATATTTAACTTTTCCAGTTAGATTCCGTTTAACCGTTTGTAGAGCTGCACAAAAATTCCGAATAATCTAAAAAACTTACTCTTTAAAATATTTCTCAAGAACGACAAAGCCCKTGCACCAGAAATACAACTTTGCAAAGGCAGGCTCGGATACAAACGCCCAGCGGCTTTCCGTATGAGATCAGTTTCTATGGATACAAGACCATGCAAGAGGATGAATTTAAAGATGGCGGACCAGTTTTCAGTTTTTTGTGCAGTTTTATGTCTGGTTTTATTCATTTTTGATGAAAAATATGCCAAATATTTCACGGAATGGGACTTTCGGTCACTTGACTTTAGACTAGAATGCTCATATTGTAAGTATTGTGTGGTTTCATCATTTAAAAGAGCAAATGTCATGTGTAGTAAACATATTACGAACTGATGTAGCTAAATAACGAATAGTAAAAATATATGACTTAACGACGTTCAATCCTCTGATATTGTCATTTCTTAAAATAAACGTCTTATCATCTAACTAGTGTCTGCGCATGAGTTAATTTAGGCGGGATTTTGGAAAGACGTTGTACATAACAAGCCTCTAGGTCCTTTTTAAGGTTCTTCCCTGCGGAGAGGATTTTGAAGTTAATCTGGAGCTTAAAACACCTCAGGTGTTGTTGCGTGTTTTATGATATAATAGAAGTCTGTCATTGACTTGTCAACAGATAGCTTATGTATAGTACAGGAATGAAACATAACGCTACTAATAAATGTATTGGATTAGTCCTTATAGGGATAGCAGTAATGACGTTGTTTAAGCTAAAATTGGATTACACCTTATAGGGACATGATTAGGTTTCGCGCGCACATTTCAAATAAGTAAATATTAAAAACACAAGCGCTTCAGAACAACATGAAGCGAGTTGAGTGTCGCAGCTCGTGATGTTCTACCRTGTGTATTCTTCATCGCTTAACGCTGCACGAAAATGGTACGCTTTAAATGATGACAATTGTGCCGGTCCCCCTAGAAAATTCKCAAATTCAGATATATTTGAACTTTTTCCCGATGAGCTAGTTTCTGTACCRATCGAGGAGCTTCAAGATGAAAATGGCGCCAACCCTCGAAGAGAAATCTTCAATAGCGGGAAAAAGGAAGGAAAACATGTCTACGTTGGTACAACCTTCGCTTTATTTGTCGGCAATCTCCGTAGAAAGAATTTACGGGGCTCAGATTTTGTGAAGTCAGAGGCCTTTGAGAGGATCAAGGATATAATTAATGCCGAGTGTCTAGAGTCCTCGACCGCCATTTCTACTACTACTGTAAATAGTTCGCCCGCGGTTCTAAAGCATCGATCTCCGAGTCAATCCACGAGCAGCCTAGAATCATTCTCAAATTCAAGTCATTCGGACGAAGAATTACAGAAATTTAACGAAAGAAAGACTATATCTGATGTATCGACAAGCAGTTTGGCGCCAAAACTTCCACCGCCATTAGCATGTTCGACACCGATCTCTACCAAGAAACGCAATCGCTCAGTTTTAACAACTGATAGTTCTCTAAGTATTGCAAAGAAGCGGAAAATTCGAGAGAAATCGGCGTCTATTTTGAATGAAATTAATTGTTTATGCGCTGCAAATGATGAAGAGTTTAGCGATGTCCTAGCCAACGCTTGTATAAACGAGAGATTACACGAAGGAGATCGCATTATACAGAATGTTTTTACTCTTGTTGAGAAAAAGCTGGGCTTGAAGGAGACTTTTCAGCGGCTTATTCCAGATGAACTATGGAATAAAAAGATCGACTCGATGAAAGTACCAGACTGGCAACTTCTACTTATGAAGCTAGAGATTCCTATCTCTGACGAGGGCTGGCAAAAAATTTTAAATCGAACTCATCTAGGAAGAAAGGTAAGTTACAAAGATATAAACTTAGAAATTGCTTTAGAAAAAAAAACAATTAAAATGGTACTAACATATCATATCTTCGTTTACATAAATACGACGGGTTAGAGGAAAACCATTTCGGTTTCATGATCCTCGTTACCTGATTGGATAATGAAGGATCTTTTGAAATATGATTGGCTGGTTGTGTACCTTGTACACACAAACTTCTATCATAAAGTTCTCCGTTGAATTAAATTAATACTTTATATTTTTATATACAATGTTTCGGAATGAGTCATTTATAATAACAAAATTTATCAGTTTATTTCTTAGTTTTAGAACCTTGATTCGCTAATATAACTTGTGTTCGTATTTTTTTTCGACGACTTTGTGTATTTATAGCCATAAATCATAATAGCGAGTGAATTATCGAGAAAAGATGTATTCTTTTAAAATTTCAGTTAAACGCAACATAAGATAAACACCATTAAACCATTTTCAAGAGGTTGATGTAATGCCAATGCAAGAAAACGTCGTGACTTAAGTGTATTGTATTTTTTTTCTCGTTTAAGTCTGCTGACACAAACTGCCCAGTTTTGCTCTCCAAGAACAATCTCAAGGCAATAAAATGCCAAACATTCCACATAGTAGAAGATACTTTCAAAATCAAGRAAATTCCAGAAGATCTGGGAGTACCAGGATATTGTGTTGGACTTGAGCCCATTGTTCGTTGGCAACAAAGAGAAATTAGGCTGCATGGGTCTAAAAACTCCAATATTCAGCTAAACCTTAAGCTTGATGGAAGGCCTTTTGGAGGTAAATATATTACTATGAGTTTAATTTCCTTTTGTGGGTTTAATCTCTTTTTTTTGTCACTATACATTCATTGTTGTTATATCYCTTACCAAAAAGAAGCACATTTGAAGCATTGCTTTAAGTACATTTGAAGCATGCTTCTGTGTGCTTCTTTTTGGTAAGGTATAATACACATATTATTTTTTGGWTTTGTCTTTTTATGTCTTTAGAACATAATATATTCTTGGTAAGCTAACTGCTTTTGAAACTGAACTAGATAACTTGCTTTCATCAAAATTGAATCAATTAATACATTGCAGGTAGAAATCAAGTCCTAGTTGGGGTCATACCAACTCTAACAGTTAATTGGTCAAACCATAGCTGTAAGTCATTTTGTCCCTTGGCTATAGCAAACTGCAAGGAAGACAGGTAAATAGATAACTATTCATGCTCGTACTTTGACTTTGACAAGCAAAAAGAAAATTATACAAAAATTATTCTATAAGTTCTTTGCGCAAGTCATGGTATGTTATGCACAGTTTGSCTGACAAACTTTGTCATACAGCTAGAAATACACTATGCAAAATTATGATGATGATCATGCCAGTTGTTATCTGACTTTGTTAAGTTTTCTTTATTGAGCTCTAATTTTGTGACGTGCGTGCCAAGACATGTTGAGGCATTCTTATACTTAGTAACTAGGCCTTTGTTATTTTGGTATGGCTTTTAAAGCCCAGACAACAAGTGATGAATTGTTGTTTGATGAATTGATCACTGTACCTCCTAGGGGGAGGGGGGGTGTTATCCTTGTTCAGCATACTTTATCTCTCAGTAAAAATTAACATATCAGCTGAGTGCTACTTAAAGATCAGTTTATTACAACACAATGTATGTTACATTTAATGAAATCAATATTTGTTAGGGTTCACTTAAAGAAGCTTATATGTACTCTAAACAAAGAGAAGGATKACTTGAAACGAAATGGGATCAAGGTAGATGGCAAGCTATATACTGTCACATTTAAAGGTAATTCTATTTATGGAAATTTATTTCATGCTAATGGCACATTATTAAGAGRTCATTTGATTAATATCTAATATTGTCAGATTATAAAAGGAATAATGCACAGTTGAATTCATTCTTCTTATTCATTTTCAAAACTCCCACAATGCTACATGTTTGTTTTATTTCTAGAGTTGTGTTTTTTAAATAGTTTTTATTGTATGAATATTTAACGTAATTGTTGTATTTCACTCAATTTGAAAGCAAATTTCTAAATTCAATTTGTTCTCTTTTTTAGTAACCCTTGATTTAAAAGCACTATATCTCTTACTTGTCAAAGATGAAGACATCGATTTCATGTTGGGTGGAAAAGRCCTGTATGTGGAATTCTGCTTTTTTTGTAATGCTTTGAGGGTGAGTTTCAAGCTGTTATTAATTATTTAGTAAATAGCAAAATTGCCTATCTTATGTTCTGAGCAATATTAATTATTTAGTAAATAGCAAAATTGCCTATCTTATGTTCTGAGCAATAGCTTATTTGAAACATTTTATTTATGGTAGAATTGCTCTTGTGATTTGGGTCCAGACACAATTTGTTTAGAACATCTCCATGAAACTAAAGCAAATATTGGAGGGTATGTACTTTCTGAAGACATAATTTCTAGAATGTGCTGCATTTTAGAATCTAATTCAATCCATAACTGTTTTATTAATATAATACAAATAAATATATCAGTGAATAATCATTTAAATTTGATACATTAAATAAATTATAACAAAACTTATAATTTAGACAATCAATTTCTACAAAAGATATCACTTGATGAATTGATTAATCATCTGATTACTAAATCAATAACATAATTCCAATTTAGTTGAAGAACACTACAAATTAACTGGATTGTATTACTTAATTACTTAATTACTATAACTATTACACTATTGCTATTGCTATTACTATTACTATTATTTATATATAGAAAGCAAATAAAAAAAATATCAAAATTTCATTATTTGATACTAATTCAAATAATTCTTTAGTTTTAAAGGAATCAGAGATGACCTTACATTTCTCTTGGAAGAGGATTTGCTATCARTTAACCTGTGCGCACTTCATTGTGAGCTCCGCAACACAGAGCAACTTCTTGGTAACCTTGGGCTGATCTCTCATAAACTGGGAACGTTGAAATCTTGCAATGAAACACTTTCCAAGTATGGTCCTGAGACTACTGGTAATCGTATCACCATTAAAATGAAGGAAGGGCAGACTACTTCAGTCAAAAAACACAATGTTCAAGTTACATCACTGTCAGGTAAAAAAGCCAATTGAAACACCACATCGCCATCATTATCATTATTATAATA